CGATTGATGGGTTTTCGGGAAAAGGAATTTAGAACAGCCCCCATGTGCTGGCCAGCTTCATGAGATGTCATGAGATAAGTTAAGGGTATATCAGCCGCCTTGACAGGGTTGAGGTCAGGCTTTGAGGTTTGAAGCAGCCATGGCGTAAGCGATTTTGGACACCCACCTCGGTTAAAGCAGCAAACTTGAGGCTTGCCCACAGCATCTGAACGGAATTTCCTTGCAGCCGCTGTGTGACAGAGTGGAGTGGGGATAAAAGACCGATGAAATGCATGCAGAGTATGCAACAAGTGAACTTGAAGAAGCTAATCAGCAGGGACAAATTGGATGATCAGGGAACAGAGGGAGCTCGCTTGAGTGCAGCGGCCTCTCATGCTGTGAGGACCTTTGGCGGTGTTGCTGTGGAAGAGCTCCGTGATGAGCTCTTGCCGCCTCCCACACCGCTTTCTCAGAGGCGGCTAGAGAGTCTGCGCAGGGCAAACTGACGTGTATAGACAAAGAATGCACTTTCAATAGAAGAAGTGATGGCGCAGTCATGTTTCTTCGCATTTCACTGCTGGTGCAGGTGCACAGGCGCTGCGGAAGGGCCGCGGTCGTTGGTCGGGGCGCACCACTAAGTTTCTACTGGTTGGAACCCGGGGTACAGGATCCCTTCTAGCGGGCAAGTCAAATGCATTCATGAGGCGTGCTCTTTCCAGAACCAGGGCAAGAACGGGGAGAATCAGGATACGTCATTGACACGTCCATGCAACACTCGCGATCAGGGCAGCGCAATATATATCAGCTGTGTGCATAAGTCAATGATCAATCCCTTGGCTGCTTGCAGGATAGCTGGATTGCGGCAGAGAGCGGAACCAAGAGCTTGCTGGCCGTCCTGGACGGACATGGCGAGCAAGGCGGGACTCGCGGCGGGACCTGCAATCTCATCGCGTGCGCTGTGCAAGGCAAGCGCGTCTCCGAGTACGCACGATCGCAGCTAGCCAGGAGTCTCTATGCTAACAAGGACGGGGACAATTAGATTGGGAGCTGTTGCAACATGCATGTACCAAAGCCGCATGTCATGCGCAGCGCAACAGGCGCCCCTGCAACAATGCTTCAGGAACTCTACACAAAGCCAGCATCCGCACTCCAAAGTGCATATGCGGAAACTCAGAAAGGCACGTCATTTTGCAGACTTTTGCAAGCCACTTCCATGCCGACATGCTAAACTTCATCTCAAGGCACGAAAGCTTTTGAACCCTCATCTTAGCAATATTCTATAGATGTGCTGCTTTCTCTCAGCTGCTTAAATTGTTCACGGGTGCCAGGGATCGAGCGCAGCCATGCCATCGATGCGCAACGCTCCGGAACTACAGTTGGGACCTCCATTTTCAGACCTGTAGGGAAGGATAGGAAGCATGCATGCATGCTTGCATGCATGCCCACATGACACCTCCACCAGCCAGCCTTCCCGATTTGATCAAAAACATGTGCATGACTATGCAAATGGCAAGTGGCAGCTAGTTCAAGGCCGTGATCTGCTATCGTCATCGTGACAAGCTGGTCGTTGCCAATGTCGGTGACTCCCGGGCAGTACTCGGGCGATGCAGCTCACGCGAGGTTCCCCGAGATCAGGAAATTTCAAATCATTTCGGGCCTTGCAGTGCTATGGTACTAGGATGCTGATGACCTGTATGCAAATTAAATGATGTAAGGACATGCACTGACCAGCTAAAGAGTCTGGATGACACACGTTGATGCATGCCTGATGTAGGTTCTGATGTAAACCACTGGGCATGGCTGGCAGTCAGCAAAAAAGGTTGGATCTGTATATTCTTTGTATGGATTATCGGTGATGAGGGCCTCTATCTGAAACTAGACCTCCAGCACAAATGGCTGAGGTGAAGAAGAATCGAACACGTTCCAACCCGTCCTTGTTCTTTCCCAGTTGACATAGATACAGCATGATACAGATAGATGTTTTAACGCCTGTGATGTCAAAGCACTGGAAAGGGGCGTCGTGCCTTTTCCATCCCTTCCCCCGAAAAACCAGCGGCGGGCGTCCCAACCCTCCGCTGGCAAAAGCAATCCGCCCGTACCATTTATCAGTGGGTGGGTTCTTCTCTCAAGGCTGAAATAGGGGTCCGTTAAATTAGATGCAAGACATCCTTAATTGAATTCCCTTTCTCCAACTTTTCATTAGACAGACCTTTATGAACCACATTGCAACAAGTATTTGAAATTGAAAACCCAAGACGTAAAAGACATCCGTACTTTGATTGGATTTCGTTTCGACTTTTTCAAAAACCACGGAAATCTGAACATCAAAGGAATCCTTGACTCAAATAATGTTTTCTTTGGAATCCTTTGCCCAATTTCCGCACATCTGCTTTATAAGGGCCTGAAAAACATTCATGCCTTAATAAATAAAAGAGACATCCATCGCCTTGATAAAGTGTATACAGACTACAAAGGCATCAAAGCGCCTACGACATAAAGGAGATCCCAAATCTTGGTTGATTCCCTGCGACAAACCCCTTTATGGTCTCAGAGCCTCTGCAATTCGGATCCTAATTGGCCCCCTTGAAAGGTAGGCCTCTCCATGTTTTCAGACTTTTCTGGGAGAAGTATTCATTACTGGGAGTGGAGGGTAGTATTCGGGGAGTGACTATTCTGCTAATGTTATCCTGCTAATGCAGCTTGCTGAACCAACCACGGGCACTTGCACAAATAAGCCTGACCCATGCTGACATGCCACCCTTTATTGCTGGCCGTTTTTCAGGGCGATGGCTGTTTGCACGGCCTGCGTGCTGTGGACTTATCCAGCGACCAGCGGCCTATGCGGGAAGATGAGCGGCATCGGATATTGCAACAGGTGGGATTGCACATTTGCTGGATAAATGACTCTGCCCGGCCTGGGGTACCCTTGATTTCTTAACTATGCACTGATTTCACATGTCCATGTTTTGATGTGCCCAGCTGTTGGGTACCCCCCCCATTCCCTAACGTATTTCTTGTTCTGGGATTCGAGCTCATGATGCTTTGAATGTCTGATGATAAACAGAGAGGCGCCTTATCCATTAGGCCGCAGAGCTTCCAACCTCCAGTAGGCAACAGAACAACCTCCATACGAAGGTATATGAAGGATATCTTTTCCTGTCTCTTCATCCTGAAATCGATAGCGTAGCTTCTTGCCCTTCTCATTTAGAGGTTTTGGCCTCAAGAAGATGATGTGTATTCTCTCCAAATAATGTCATGTTATAAGTGCTGGGGGGACAAGGCCTGAAAACACTCAGGCTGAAACTGTAGGCTCCTAACATTTCTCGTTTTAGGAGGGGGGGAGCGGTCGGGGGCTAGAAAATCATCCAAATAAGAAACGTAGCCCACTACATTTCTCATGAGTTTTTGCAGACCGCAAAAGCCACAAGGGCCAAGCCAGTTAAGAAATGGCCCCAACAAATCATTGGGCAGTTCTTAGCCTGTAAGCATATTGTTTTTGGTGTTATCAGGCTGACGTAGTGGCCTCTACAATTCTTGATTTCTTGAGCAGTCATGTTTATACAGCGATTGTATTTTAACTGCAAGACCCCAGCAACGTTTGACGGTACTTAGACGCACGCCACTTGCCACAGTTTGCTTCAGTTGTAGAGGAGATCTGGAGTGCAGTACGAAGGAAACCCATAAATGTCCAAGTATTTGCTTCACCTATGTCAGGTCAGCTTCTCTTTCCCAGCGCATGTGCAAAAGCAGTGCTCATGTCATGTGACGCAGCTTCCGTCGGCACAACGCCTCGCATGCTTTGCCAGGGCGGGGCTGTCCATCCAAGCGCCATACCAATGCGGCAAGGCGAGAGTCTCAGCGAGCGTCTGCAGTCTTTAAGTGTTCAGCTGTGTGCCCGTGATCTGTTGTGCTGGTGCAGTGGCACTGAGCCAGAATTTCTGCGAGCATCAGGCTTCGGCCCTCCTGTCTTGGTCCGCGTTGGTCCCGAGCGAGTCTGGGACAAGACCGGCCGATGCGGCCTCTGCGTTACGCGCTCACTAGGACTGTCGGTTGGTTGTTACAAGCATGCAAGTTCATGGATAACTTCTTGCAAGACTGGGCACTTGTGCATTGGGGAATCTCTCCCAGCTCTTGCTTCAGCTTGGCATAGGTTCCAGTTTGGATGACAGCATAGGCGATACCATGGGCATCAGATAAGCCTCAACTAGCAGAAGCTTTGAACTTGGGTTCAGTGATTCATGTAAACGTCCGAAGGCTTGAGTTGCGTTGCATGAGTTTCAGTTCCGCTTTTTACATGGTGCTGTATGGCGAGCTGGGATGATCTTCGCCAGGGGCTTGGAATCTATGAGCACCATGCTGCTAGCAGGGATCACACCTGCACGGGCTGTGGCGAGTCATTCCTCTCACGAAATGGCCTTTTCCGCCATCTTCGCCAGCATGGATGTGGTGGCTCCACAATGCGACGCAGCTCTCGCTGCTTGCTGCTCTATGGTTACATCGGGACACGATTTCATGGCAGCCAGTTCAACTCCCTTCAGAGCGAGAAGCAATTCCCAACTCTTGAGGGCACGTTGCTAAAATGCATTGAGGTCGCACTGACAAAGCAGCCAGCTGTCCTATCTGCGAAGGTGGAAGTCGCCTCTCGAGCGTCGCGGACTGATCGAGGCGTCCATGCACTTTCCAGCGCGCTGTCCTTGCGAATCACGACAGAGCTTTGCAACAACGAATCCCAAAACGTTGACCGCACCTCTAGCTTTCTGGAAGCCGTGGGGCATGAACTGCCTCCAGACATCACAGTAGTTGAAGCCTTTGACATTAACGATCCGCAGTTCAATGCCCGATATGCATGCCAAAAGAGGGAGTACTGGTATTACGTGCCTTACCATGCGCTGCTTACAAAACAGGAGAAGCAAAAGATGACCATTCTTGCGTCCAATGGAGGCGTATTCTCGAAGCAGGATGCATTGGCATGTTGGGTTTGGGTGTCGGGCTTGCCAATTGAGGCCACAGCATCAGACCTTGCTGCAACGATTCGGGCGCTATGTGTTGGGTCGCTTGAGGAAGTCGTCTTCTCAAAGAAAGACGGATCGGCAAAGCTGAAGTTCGCCGATTCTGCATCTGCTTTGGCCGCTTGCTTTGCGTTGGACGGTTCGCCAGGACCCCCAGACGCTCAAAACCAGCGAGCAAAGTTGCTTGCTCTTCCCCAGCCACTATTGGAGGAATGGCAGACCGTGCACAAGCGCCTTCGGTCAGCGCTGAAGAAGCTTACGGGAACACGCTCCTTCCACAACTTTAGCCCTGGCTTCCAGGATGCAAATGACCCGAAGAGTTTGAGAAGCGTGTATCGCTGTAGAGCTGGCGTAACGTCCGGATATCGCGACTACATACACAACAAAGCTTATGCAGTGCTTCGTGTCACGGGCCGCGACTTCCTTTACCATCAAATTCGAAGCATGGCAGGTCTGGTAGTTGCTGTGACAAGCCAAGTACTCCCTTTGTCCCACCTTGACTTGGCCCTCAGCCGCGAGATAGTGCAAGTGCCACTTGCGCCGGCCAGTCACCTTGTTCTTGTCGAATGCGTTTTCCGAGACGGCGAATTTCAATGTCCTTTCGGCCAGGCAGTCCGAGAAGCCTGGGATAAGGCCGGTGGAAGACGAGGGCTGCCTGGTCCAGCAGCCTGTGCAACGCAAAGCAGTTGCCAGGCCATTGTTGAGGAACTCAGTTCGCAGAGATTTCGGGATGAGTTTGACAGGTTCTTAGAGAGTCTAGGAGAAGCGGACATGCTGAATCATTCGGGCGCAAAAGAGAAACTGCTCGCATGTTTCAACTCCTGTTTGGGTCGTTCACCATCCCATGCAGACCGTGCAGTAGACAAGTGGGATTCCGCAGACTCCCCTGAGTGACCTGTGATGTTGCAAGGATCTGTGTTTCGTTGACTATTCGTCTTGGCTAAGCAACTGCGACACGAAGTAACACGAAGTAGGGGCATACCGAAGTGTGGAGGAGACTTGTCAATGCATCCCTTCGTCATCGCTGAGCCAGAGGCCGGGAGATGCCGGGAGTCTAGAGCAGCCTTGACATGAGGGACTACACGTTTTTGGCAAGGTCACTGAAAGGATGATCTCCTCCAAAGACAAAGTTCTCATCCTCGGCAGCGATGGAGTATGGGATCGTTTGAACTCGCAGGAGGCTGCAATCTGATTGTTCTCTGATACTTTTGATGTCACAGTCTCGGCTCGCTATGGCTCGCTTTTGAGTGAGGCTGTCGACATTGCAGCGCGGCATTCCGATCCCAATGCGGCTGCGCGGGAAATCGCCAGCATAGCGCGACAACGCTGGCATGCGGAGACTCAAGGAGCTTCCCCATGATATCCGTCACCTAACGTGTATGACGCTCAAGCTGGCCTTATCTTTCACCAGGCCAGCTTTCCGATGACATCACCGCGGACTCTTGGCTGAGAGTCCTTGGGACACGCTTCAGACTGCTTGCTGGCCATATTTCCGGAGTAGATTAATCTGGATCGGCCTAGGTGGTGATGCATCTAGAGCATGGCGATAGCACTGCGCGGACAATGCCAACATCCCGCCCCGCATCAAAGCCTCCACGGCTGCTGCCGGAGACGCGTCTCAGGCCAGCGTGATGCTTGAACTTAAAAATCGGAGCAAGCAGCGAAAACAAAAACTGGTTCGTCAGCCCGAGTCAATAGGCGCTGACAGGATGCCGGCCACATAGAATCCTGGTGCTTACAACACCTTACTGCACAACGAGGTAGGGTAGTTTCGCAGCATTGAATCGTGATTGAGGCATGTCTGACAGTCTACAGATATCAGCTGGGAAAGCATTGAGAGGGAAGAAGGTGCCCAAATCCAAAGCAGACCGAGCCATAGGGCAGCAGGCTGTCAAGAAACATCATACATCGGCAGATAGATTAGATTAGTGGCTTTGCAGAGAGAGAAGGCTCATGGGGCTGCGTGCAGTGGGCACTAAGTGTGGTTCGGCGGTAACGCTTTGACTCGAGATCTACTTGCGGTCTCTTGTTGCGATACGCTGCATGTCCCTTTGCCCTGCCAGCAGGGCTGGGCTGCCAGCAGCAGCCATGCTCTCAGATGCAGATGGCGATATACGGGACGACTTGTTGATGCATGTAAGCCAAGCCACTGGTGCTGACGATGCGTGATGATGCATTTGGCAATACGCTGATCCTGTTGCACAGATTTCGCTGCTGCTGCTGATGATTCTCCCCAACTCTGGAACACGTCGTGAAGCCTTTTTGCTGAGCTTCGTCAAGCCCCTAGGAGTCGGAAGGAGTATTGAGCAGGCCACCTGTTATGGACATCGTAAGTTGTGCAGTTTGGACTGTTTTGCAAAAGGAGTCTTGTGGCAAATGGAGGTCTAGAATCTATACCTAGGCGAACACGTGCAGAAGTTCAAACTCACAAGAGCTTTATACCAGGCTAGCTCATTCCATCCACAGCCAACTCTTGTGCAGATCAAAACTTTCCTGCAGAAGCAGGTCCACGAATTCGCGTCTCTAGCACACCACCTTGGTGAACGGCTTTTGAGTGATGTTGCGCTTGGTACCCGCTCAGCTTCTTTTTCAGAATCTAGCTACTCCCTGAAAACCTGTCAGCACTTTATGGATGTTTGTGGTGCCGGCTTCAGGCACCTGCCCATGACAGCTTTGCGGAGACAGCGCCTGCCAAGGTTTCGGGAGTATCTAACAGTGGGCATGGAGTCTACCTCATTTCTTCGGCAGTTGATTGAATGGCTGCAGGTCCGGCAGAGGAGGTTGGAGCCCATTCGCTCGCAGCGTGCGGAGAGGCCCCTCTGCTGTAACTGTAGCAATCTAGCAGTTGCGCACCCTGATTCTGTTTGCAAATGCCTCGACAGTCTCCACAGGTGCTTGATCCCAATTTGGTGATATTGAAGCAGTAGATGCAAGTGATCCTACTAGTGAGGCAGGCCTACATGCCCAAGCAACATGGAAATCATTGCGGGCTTTCTTGCGCCAACGTGTGCACGGAAGCATTTGCGAGAGGATGCAGAAGAGGAGGCTAGTAGAAACTCTGCAGAAGCACCATTGAGGGCTCCATACAGTTCACGTATGTGCTACATGGCGACTCCGCTACAGCTCAGAAATTATCCTGGAACTTGTTTTGCTGATTGCAGAGGCATCTGCAGCGCAGGGAGGGTGAGAGAGATTAAGATGGTCACTTCCCCCGTTGTGATAGCTGGTCAGGCTCGGCCTCCTCCACCTGCCTGCTGCTGGAATGCCATCGATGCCGACCAGACCCCGGCGGCCAATCGGTGCCAAGGCCTCGGAGACCTGGAGAGGCCTTGACTACGCCTTTTCCAGCTGCACTGATTGGCAAACAGCACTGACATCTCTTGCAGAGACAAGCGTAAGTCTGAAGAAACTTCTTAAATTCAATACTTCATTAAGCAGCCATCCTAACTTGCCCAGATGTTTTGGCATATTCCTTCGTGTCTTTAAGATGTTGCAGACATAGAAGCCATTCATCACCGCCGAATGAAACCTCGATCTGCTTGGTAGAGGCAATGCGAAAACTCTGAAGGCTGTGTGACGTTCTAGGTTGAAAGGAGTTCATATAACATTTGCACAGTTGTTGGTCGATATACGTTTTGACATCCTTCGGTTCTTGGCAGGGGCGCCCGCTTTCTGTGTAACGCGAGGCCAGTGATAAAATTTCTCGATCTAAGACGAACAAACTTGCAGGCAACATTGCAAGTCAAGTACAGCTAATTACAGCTGGAGGGGTTGCTTGTGGGGTTGGCCGCTGGTCACGAGTCTCTTCGAAACCTCGCCTTTTTGTGTCCTGAAAAGCTTTCTTTGGGGCCTTCACGGGACACTTCCCAAAGCTGCCACTCTTTAGCCAAGCTGTTGTCCAGTTGGCGGACTCGGACTCTTCAGGGTTAAGTTCCTCCAGCATGCAAAGATGAATGTGAAATTGTGCGTACTACCAAAAAGCCTCTTGCAGTACTGATGATACTGGCAAGCAGGCATTTTTACGGGCGTTGCCAAGGTACCCTGAACTAGCAGCAGGTCCGGATTGACCCAGGCCCGCGTCCGAATTGTCTCAACAACAAGTCTCACTTTTTTGGCAGCAGAGATGTCTGCGAACGTGACATAGGCCAGGATACGACAATCTCCCCAGTTTTGCTTGGCGGGGAATCGTTGCAATGTAAGTGCACCTTCACTGCCAGTAGCTCTTCTGAACTTTCCATCTTTGGCTTTGCAGACATCACTTCTCCACAGTATCATCTTGGATAATGACAGGGACTGCTTCGTTTCAATGCACCCTGAGACAGACGCCGTCAGTGCGCAGGAGTGAGCAGCTGCGGCCCTAAGGGCTTTGCAGACTGGCTCAAGGCCAGACGTGGCGATTCGATTCTTAAGCCTGACCTTTTTGAGGGCGTTACTTACATTTCGTTGCAGCAGATGTGTTTCCTACACCGATTGAACCGGAGCTGCGGCCCAAAGCTGCAACTGCCGAGCAAAAACTTTCGGCGTGCAGCTTTGGGCATGTTCAGCACAACTTGCATTGTTTTCTCATGAATTTCTCAGTGGCATCGAAGCTCCAAGGTTTGTGCTTATATCCGTGGTCATGGCAGAAAACAACACCTGCCAAGTATTCTTCTCACATATTCAAATCTTATTGTTTACAGCTTTGCAGGAACGTACATGACGTGTAATTACCGAATGTGCTCTGCTGTAATGCACATCTTCCAGAAGCAACAGTTGCCAACAAAACTTGTCCATCAGATGTCTGGTACATTCCTGCAGCGCCACAGGATGTCCCCCTGCATGCTTTCATGTCCAAGCCTGGTTGCCGGGCTTTTAACATCAGGATTGCTACGCCAACGATGCTGGCAGCTCGTAGGAATTGTAGGTCGATAGAAGTTCGCGGAGAGTCCGTTTGAGTCTGTGCAGGCGCTCTGTCCTATACCGATATGACAGTTGGGTCACGTAACCTTCTCTCTGCCGCCCTAGGTGGGTACAAGCTGCACTGTCTATCACTTGTTTATGAAGTCAATGGAGCAACAATGAACGGAATCAGCGTGACAGACTTGATCGCTCGCTGCCTGGACCAAGGAGTCGCATGTGCGAGAACAGACCTGTGAAATTTCAAAGTCAGCCAGCAAGGAATGGATTCTTTGTCAGTAGGGCTCGTCTGTTCCTACCTGTGGTCCTGTGATGAAGCATCTGGAGACTTCGCAGCATGAAAATGGTTCGGCAGGCAGAGCGGTCTCGCTATCTCTGAACAAGCAAGGTCAAATTGCCAGGCGAATGCAGCCTTGCCATCCTGTTTGTTGTCTCAGCTTAGCTGGCCTGAGGTAGGGACCATCATGGCAGACTCATGGACCAGTTGGGGCAGAGGAACAGTAATTTCGCACACCTTGAACAAACTCCATAATATTAGCTTCACTTCTAGACGGCCAGCCAGATCGCGAGAATGGCAGCTCGTGCAATCCGCTTTGATGCGCCATGCTCCGCAGCTTAGCCTTTTTTCTGTCAAGGATTTGGGTACAAGCGTCCACAAGCCGCGTTTGGCAAGCCTGCAGCGCCTCGGTGCGCTGCCGGATGCTGCACGTGAGTGGGAAAGTGAGAAGGCTAAGGTCAAGACGATGAGGGCACCAAAGGATGTGTGGGTGCTTTCCGCCAGAAGCAAAAGAGTCCTGCGCTCCTGCCCAGTCAGCCAGACATACATTGCAGTCGTCCGACGTCAGCAACCCATGCAGAACAACAGCCAAACCAAATTCAAACGGCGCACCACCCTAGTAACCTTCCGAAGCAATATTGCAATGCTCGGAGACTCAAAACTTCAAGGACCACACTACTGGGCAGCCCAGACAACTGCATAAGGGATCCTGTCCGGGTGCGACATGCTTGGGGTTTTTGTCAACTGAATGAAAACTATTTGCCTGTGACACCATGCTTACTCTCTACGGCTGCCCCGTAGTGCTTTGTAGTTCCACACTTGGGGACAGAGTAGTGATGTCTTATTCTTGCTGCCAGGTGGATTCTGGATCCAAAGGATGGCAGGCCACAGGCAGCGGCCTGAGCAAAACTCGACGGGCCGGAGTGTGCATGTGTGTGGAACTTTCCGTCACATGACATACAAATTGATTTTCATGTTTTCTGATTCAGAATTCTAAATCAAGTACAGGACGCAGGGAAGCAACGGTGTTCAAGTTTCATCAACTGTGTGTACCTGCAGCAGCCAACCCCCCGAGATGGCAAGATGAGCCTTGCAATAGGTTCAAGGGTCATGTGCAGGCAGGTGCAGTCATGCGTTGACGCATGTTTGTGAGAGTCATGTAGCAACCATGTCATGGAAACAACTCAGAGATGAACATTCTCGGGTGCTTGTTTGTAACATGGCCCTGCAATGTTCTGGACTGGGGGACCAGTCATAAGCTTCTTCATGCTTCTTCATAGATGATGGATCCTCTTGCATATTTCACGCAATGCATCTTGCGGACGCAGGCAGCCATTTGCCGCCTGAGACCGGGTTGGCCCTATGCAGGTTTGTATTATTGGCCTGCCAGGCAAAGAAATGAAGCACCACTTACAGATATGTGATATTCGACGGTAGTTTCAAGAAGGGCAGTGTCGCCATCGGGTGCTTGGCAATCAGTGACAATCAAAAGTCCCTCCAGCTCGACGTCGCGGACAGTCTCCACCAAAGGGAGCGTCGCTCCTTGGCGTGCAGCGACTCCATCGACAATCAACTTACAGACAAGCGAGGAGACCATTCCAGCGGAACTGGACACTCCAGATGTGGATGCCGTTTCTGACTTTTCATCATACAAAAGACCAATGCCTGAGTTTGGAGAGGCAACTCCTAGCAACTTGAGCTATACAATTTGATGACGCAAAACAAAAAGGATCCCTGCCGCAATTCAGCTCCGTAATGGATGGCATGTCACTTGCGCTTTGACTTTCTTGGCCTGCTGCTTCCAAAAGCACCGCCGCTGATTCGGCGCTATTCGATGCCTTGTTATCACGCGGTGCATCCGGTTCCTTAGAGACGTGCGCACAAATATATGATGACCACTTATTAAAGCGCACGCTTCCCGCGGAGGGAGAACTATGACCTGACTGACTACGACGATATGCGTGCTGATTTGTGCAACGGCAGATAGAAGTCTCGGGGTTCAAAGAAGGAGACAATGGAAGCAGGGGCCACTTAATCAGCCAGGACCTCGCGACAGCCAGGGGCACACTCCTATGGCAGCACGCACGCGCTCAGCGCAATAGCGTCTTCTGTGTGGTCATAGGACGCCGTGCCCCTGCCTACTGATTAACTATCCGCTCCCTCATGTACAGTCCGGACAGCTTCGCAGTCGCACTACTGTCCAGGATGGTTTAAACCTTATCAGGCTCAAGGGCCATATGCATGGTGCAAGAAGTGGAAGGGTGACTGGCATCTTCTTTCGCTTGGTTTTTGCAGACTGTCCCCACTTCAACTGGTTGCCGAGGTTGCTGTTCGTGAGATAAGTCAGGATCCACTTTGCGACCCATATTCGCGTTTGGAACCCCAGGGACGAGCATCAAACCCTGATACTACATGTGATATATTTGCGGTGCGCTGTATCTCCCTCCTGTGTGCCCTTGCCAAGCACGGAGGTCGGGCTTTGTTTTTCCATTGCATTTGCGTGTTTCCTGTGTGGGCATCCGGCCTCCAGGGCTCCTTCCATATTCAATATGCAAGTGATATGCCACGCATAGTAGTAGAAGAACCCTTTTCCCTAAAGCGCATTCGAAATCTCTTGTGCCACGGTTATTAATTATGTTTACAATGCTCGACTATACATTCTGCAGCGCGCAGGCCCTCGCCTACCTTGAATCGTATATAGACGGGCTACTCGTGTTGGGATTAGGTGGATGGTGGCATTTTCGTGCGTAAGTGGCAATGGCGTGCTTTAAGCACGCTCCACTTCGACCGCCTTTCAAGAGCATGTATTTTTCTCACGGCTAATTCCTTTCCCCAAATCTGGCAGCATTCTAGCGAAACTACTTAGTATCAAAACACAGAATAGAGTTTTGGTAAGCAAGCGGGAGGCCGTCCTTCCGCCTACTGACTTCAATTGTTGCACTACGCAGTCTTGTAGGTCTTGTTGTTGTCAGACCCGCCGTTGGACAAGACCAAGCTGTCTTGGATGAATTCTCGAATAAGAAAAGAAAAAAGGTGTTGTTCGTTTCTGTTCCCTGAGGGTTCCTAAGAATTCCAAATCGTAAAGGTTCACGCTAGTAGTTTCAAAGACGTAGGGCTGTTATGGTCAAGCAACGCCAGCTCCGGATTCTGAACATGGGTTTGCAGCCTTGCAGTACTTAGCTTCCGACGTGATCATGGTGAGTCTGAGCACCTCAAACTTTAACTGCGCTGTGCTGAGTCCACTCTGCAAGCATCCAAATCTAGTGCCAAAACTATTTGATCTCTAAAATCAGCAATTTTGGAAGGGAGGAATCTTTCAGTCACCGGTTTATTATTGTCGATGAACCTTGCTTGTAGGCTATTGGGATCCAAGCTTGTAAGAAAGCAAGAAAAGTCCTCTGGAGCTTTCAGGCCCGGCGGGAATAGCGTCTGCTCCAGCAGGTATGTCGCTTGCACAAGGGCCCAGATGGCTCCCTAAGTTTTTTTTTGAGCCATTACCTTCGAATGATCATGCGTTTTGGCATCGTATGCTTCCAGGCAAAAGTTTGCATTGGTGTGTGGCCTCTAGTGGTGTTGCAGCAAGCCTCATTAGGACTGACTAGCGGTTTGATACGGCCGCTCAGCTTTCAAAGAGTGATGGGTTCCAAAGACAATGTATGCCAAGGGCGCAACGAAAATCCTCGATCCGTGTGCCAAATGTCTGGACTCGCGCTACGCGAAGGATTGGAACAGACGAGAAGGCTGCCGAGAATTTCCGACCTTGTTGGGAGACTTTTGGCCGAGTTCGTTGTGTAATTGACATGGGATGGGCTACGTACATAGAACACAGACAGGGGTATTAGACGGACGTCATTCAGAATGCAGAAATATGCAAAACAACCAAAAAAGAGCGCTGACCTGGGTAAAGCAGAGAAACACTTGAGAGTCGTATTTTCCGTGCAGAAGTGCGTAGCGCAACCCTCGTGCATCACTGCACTATTCGTCGAACTTTTATTATTGTCTTGTCACTTGTCCAATCTTTACATGCCCAGCAATGGCAAGCTGATGCTGCGCGGCTCTCGGATAAGTACAGGAATCTTCCCAGCCATACATATCAACGTAAGAGGAGAGGTCTTCCAATAAGCCCTGCATTAAGGTCATAAAGCCTCCTGACATGGGCATAAGAAATAGGCTCTCTTCGAAAATTCCGTCGCGGCTAAAAGCTGCTGAGCCAGGTGCCAAGTATTCCCCGATGGCAATTGTCCCTGACCGCCGGGCGATCCATGATTTCGATTGGCAAGGCTTGTCGAACTGTTTAGCCAGCAGGCGATGACAGTTGGGTTTCGTTCCCAAATCTGCAAAGTATAGGTCCAGCTGTTGGACTGGTTGAAGGATAGTTTTTCTATTTCTTGGCTGATGGAGATGGTTATGTCTACAGAGTTAAAAGTTTTCTCGACGTGGTGTTGAACCGGGGAGGCGCGGAAGTGGCCTCTGCTAGACTCCTAGACCTTAGTAATCTTGGTGGCGCTCTTGCCACATCTCCTGTACGCTTCTTAGATATCTGACCTTCATCCGCGGCATCTTGGAATCTTGATGAATCTTGTCGCACGTACTGTGGCCTGTAGCTTTTGCAATGTGGTGCGAGATGCATCGAGCTTGTCCAGGTGTAGCGCCTCCTGGCCATCACTTGAAGGATCTGGTGATCTACGAAACTCATGTGCGAGGATTCACGCGGACTCTCGGCCCCAACTTGACTGCAAAGGATGTTGCGCAAAGAGATTGACTTTTTGCCTGCTCACTCCACCTTATTCAGGAATCCAGACAGCAAGCTGCAAGACTGGGACTCCACAGCTGGTACATTCCTAGGCAGGACTTACAAAATGGAAGCGTGATGCGCTGAGGCGTGTGACTTTTCTCCTGCCCAATCAGGCTTCATACAAAAGATCCCTCACCTCCTGAAGCTTGGCATCAATGCTGTGGAGCTCCTTGCTCAGCATCGGAGTTCGGGTACCTCGGGTACCTTGGATGCTTGCATGTGATGCTTACAAAGATTGAAGGCTGCTGCCTGTCTATGAGTTTGACGAGACGGCATGTCCCAGGACGGCCGTTCGACAGAGTGTGCAAGCTGTCACACATCAACCTTTGGGCTTGGTATTCAAGATCTCTTGAAGGAAGAACCCAGAGAATGGCGAGCAGCTTTGCCATTTTTGGGGCTACTCAACAGCTTCTCGGCATTTAAGAAGCAGATTTGATCAGATGGGGCCTTTCCTCGCCAGACCTGTCCGCGAAACTGCTGTTGCAGACTGTCTCCCCTTGTGGTGTAATGCAGACTTGATGATGCCAGGTCAACTTCTATGTCCCCATGCAGCGCTTTTCATCCAGTAACTTGGCGAAAGGCGAAGCCACCACTTCTCCCGCTGCTTCGCACCAGTGCAGTCAGGCAAAAACACAAACTGCTGCAGTGCGGCGTTTTGCAGACTGCTAAACTTGTGGAGATCTCAACATACCTTGGCAACTGTTCTCGTTGTAGCAGTCTCCTTGCTTGCTGTGCTCGGCAAATGAACCGCAACCGGGTGCTAATACCATGCCAGGCCTTCTGTCACTGCAACAGGTTTTTGTTCTCAGTGTGTGTTAAGCCGACAGGTCCAGAACATGTAGTGGGCGCTGCACATCTCACATCCAAGGAGATCGCATTGGCGCAGCCATTGTTGGTTTCAAGACAATGGTGAGAAGCGTGGATGTTTTATAGAATTCAAACTGAGCGTTGATCTAAAGCTCCGTGGATGAAGATTTATATTGGTCGACCACCAGGAAAGGAAGATCATGTTCTTTTGCGCAGGGTTATTATAGGAATGCCCTCGCAGGTTGGGTAGTTGGGCCCCTGGCGGCAATTTTGCAGGGCCTCTCAGCTTCTAATGTGCGGCTTGGAGGGCCTCTCAGCTCTTTTTGACAAACCTGATGCTCTGGTTCGGGATGGCGCCACGCAAGCAAGTTTAGCTCGCCCAAGTTACGCGCTATGACTGGGCTCTCAGCTCTGCAAGGCTGAAGGCTGTGGCTCTGAAGGACTCGGAAGCGAGCCACTACCTCTTAGAAATGTTCTGTTTCACTCCCATCCCTTTTTCTCTTAAACTGTTGGCAATATGAATGCAAGCTTATCCGCGGTCCGCGCTGTAAATGCTGCAAGAAGAAAATAAAGCAAGTAAGGAAGAGAGTCAGGAAAACGAAAATGAAGGCAGAGAAAGCTTTCGCAATTTCGAAAAATTCCCAGCACGCTTGCACCATTTGCCTCATTTTTCTGCTGTTCATTTCCATCATTTTCATCAGTCACGCAAGCTAGCTCTCGTGGATCTTGCGGCTTGCGGTACGGTAGTTCTTGTTAAAGATTCTCTAGGTGGGTGGAAACGTGGTTTCGGATCAATTTTTGAAGGGTTTAATCAAATGTGAAGGTGAGGGGGGAGGGGGAGGGGGGCCCCTCCCCCTTTTAAATAATTGATCTAATCATTTGCACCCGATAACCCCCCTCCACCCCCAAGAAAAGGCCTCGAACAATAGGGCCACCCCCCGCACCTTGAGCCTATAGGCCCTCCCTTCAGGTCCACAAGTAAGGCTTCTAGTTGCATTGCATTTGAAAGCTCTTGGTCGACATCTCAGCTCTGTAACTGCATGGCTGCTTCTGTCTTCCGCTGCTGCCTCTATCTTTCGTGGCCCTCTTCTCAAGTTCTCATGATTTTTCAATATCATCATCATCATCATCATCACCACCACCATCAGCGTCATTAGCATCATCGTTTTGTTCCTATCCCAACATTCTTCATCACTTTCAGCTACAGTTTAGCGTTGTTCATCGTGTTCATCGTGTCTTCATTGTTTTGACCTTTTTCACTTTGATGATGTTCATCATTTCCCATCAAAATTTTGCATAATGTTCATTATATGTCAGCAGTTTCATCATGTTTTGTCGCAGAGTGATTCTGCTGAAGACATTAAGGCATAGTTCACCATGTGTCACATTGTTTCATCATTGTTCATAACATTTGTTTCAGTATTCATGAGTGTTTCGTCGTTTTATCGCTTTTCATCATATTTAATCATTCTCCGTACGTTTAATCACATTTTATTCAACATTATCATTTTCCATCATATTTCATCATCATATTCCATGATATCTCATACTTTTCATCATGCTGCATGATGTTCAGTGTTCTTCATCTTTTTCTTCAGTTTCATCAGATCTTCATCACATTGTACTCGCATTAACATTATGTTTCATCACGTTTAGTAATTTTCCATCATTGTCATGGAGCAACCTTCATAATTTGTCATCATGTAATCTTAATCATTTTCTTCATTCACACTTGTGAATCGCCAAGAGAGTTTGAGTGTCCAGCAATGATGACAATTGCAAGGATCACGACCCCGACCGCGCGATCCCTATGACTGTCGACAGTTTGGGAATGCCAAAAGAAACCGAGTGATTAAAAGTGACGAGAGTTATGAGGAGCACGGCCCCAACCCGCGCAATTCCTATGAGTTTCGACACCTCTGAAACGCCAAGAGGGCCCGCGTGTCCAAAGGCGGCGACAGCTACGGGGATGACGACGGCGATACCCACGGCCCCTGTGACTGTCGACACTTGAAAAGTGAAAAGGATCCGAGGGCCCAAAAGTAACGACTATTGCAAGGATCGCGACCCCGATCCCGCGAGCCCTGCGAATGTCAACATTTGGCCAAAGTTCACTTATTTGATTTTACTGTTTTTTTGGGGGATCTCGATGGGAAAAGTTGTTCAACTGTATTCTTGGTCTCGAAAACGCATTTAGATCAACGCCCAAATGAGCTTCTGACTTGAAGGTTCAAGAGTTCATGCTGTCCCTGCAGCTGTTCTGCCGATCTACCCAGGAGAGCTTCACCGTCAGGGCATTGAAGTGATTTTGGACGTCGTCTTCAACCACACAGCTGAAGGTAGGATCCATACTGAAATGGGTCTCCGTGCTTGGATACAATGCCGCAAAGTAATTCGCAGCAATGTGTCAAGGATTTGGCGGTTTGTTTTTCTGCTTGTTGTGCCGGAGGTGCATGGGGCGAGCACTACTGGCACAGCTGGGCCGCGATTGCTAAGGATCGCTACTACATTCTAAGCCGTGGCCACGATACAAATTACACAGGCACCGAAACCATTGCGGCATGTTGTGATCAGATTCAATCAGCATTTTGGCAAGTGTCTCCAAGATGTTTGTAAATACTAGCAATGCAGATCGACATTACGTCTTCTGGAGGTTGTGGGAACACTGTTAGCGCAAATGACCCCATGACCTCCGACTGGATTGTCGACTGTCTCTGCGGCCGGGCAGAACCCAAGCTTTTGGGAAAGCCCTCGTGATCCCCCCACGAACTTCGATCTTTGCTTGTGGACTGACACTACACATTGGTGTTGAGGCTATTGGGTGGAGGAGATGCATGTGGACGGCTTCAGATTCGATCTGGCTTCTGCCCTGACACGTGGAGGTGACGGCAAGGCACCACACTGCAAGAGTGCAAATGAAGTCTTCTGATTTTTCACCTCAAAGGTTGTCGGCACGAAAGCATGCCTTGATGAAAGCTGTTCTGCTTCCGTTTTTTGCTAGGTGTCCATGGATCCGCTGCTAATGAGAAAGATGGCGAATGAGCCCAAGCTACAGAGCCAAGGCCGCAGAAAAGTGCAAATGCAAGAAATCATCTCTTGTAGAGATCAGATGTAAAAAGATCGAGCCAGCCACTTCAGGCGCAGGGTAGGACCAGGTCAGGGCTGAAGCGAAACCTGGCACCTCACATTGGTAGAGCTTCCAGTGGTGAGGGTTCAGGCTGGAGCTGTCGAGTTCAAGGTCATGATTAAGGCTGATGAAGGATTCTTGAGGTGTTGGGTTGTCGATTCAGGAGTTGCAGGGCTGGGGTTGGCATTTGGATGCCGTTCTAAACCCCCGCCTCTTGTGACATGACTAAGGGCGGCATTAGGGTTTTGAAAGGGGTTGCAAAAACCCATGCGCGCGCAAGGTGGCGCAAGGGCGGGCGCAAGAATTCATACTTAGTCCGCA